GAGAGAGAGAGAGAGAGAGAGAGAGAGAGGGAGAGAGAGAGAGAGAAATCTTCAAAAATGCTGTTAAGAGTATGATCTACAAACAACAGGAAACTTGAAACTTTCACCAAAAGATTTAAAAGTGGAGGCAGTAAGGTGTCAGGAAGAATAAAAATATATGCAGGTATTTATGACCAAAAGAAATAAATTCAGCCTATGTTTATACTAAGGTTAGTACAAATTTAGTCCAATTTCCTATATATTTTTTATCTAGATGAATACCTTCAAACTGCCATTAGGATTAGTAACTTTTCCACAATTAGAAAAAATAATCCTTTTAAATTTTTAAGTGAATACACAAGTTCTTCAGGAACCTGAAACAAAGATTTAGGGCTGGAAAAGATTTTAGATTTTTATTAGAGATTTTAAATGTATTTGGACTTATGGGTAATGAAAAATTATTTTGGTAACCTTGCTGAAAATTGTTTTTAAAACACTGTAAGACAGAGAAATACATACTTTTCTATCCAGTGAAGGTCCAGGGATACTGTCGTCACTGCTGCTCTGAATTACATCTGCCGAGAGCTGCCTTGAGATATGCTCCTCTGGTTCACAGTCTCTTGGAAAAACATTTACTTTTTCTGTTTTTTCTAAGTCTGCTACCATTTCCTCCCCAACAATGATCTCTCCACACCCTCTCTCCCAAGAGACAGAAATCTCTCCTGTTTGCTTCAAATTTTCGTTAGTTTCCTCCTCACTGGTAGTCCTCTCTCCTGAGTCCATGGCCATCACAGAAAAGTCTCTTTCTCCAGTTCCCTTCAGGTCCAGCTCCTTTTCTTCCACAGCACTCCACTCCACTCCCACCTTTTCTCTGCATGTGCTGCTGCTTATGTCCACCTCACTAACCAGCTGCTCCGATGGAGCAACCACTGTGTTTTCTCTTTGGGAAGTTTCTCTCCAATCTCTTTCCATTTCACCCATGGTTTCTGTTTCCATTTCACCCATGGTTCTGGCCTCCTCTGCCTCTTTTACTGGTGCAGATATTTCTTGTCTTTCAGTTTCTTCTGAATGTGCATCCCCTTTTTCATTGCTATCAATCATATCTGGTGTCCTGTCTTTTGTGGGCAACTCTTTTCCAGTTTCTTGCAAGTTCGTCTCTGTTTCACTAATTGGACTGACCTCCTTGGGGCCATTTTCCTGTGGAAAGATTTCTCCTCTTCCAGTTTCTTCCAAATTTGTACAAATTTCCTCTGTGGTATCAATCAGCTCTGGCACCTTCTCCATAGGAGAAATCTCATTTACACCTGTCTCTGTTTCCATAGGGATGTCAATCATTTCTCCTCCCATATCCCCTGGTGAAATATCTCTTCCAAATGTTTCCAAACCTATCTCCATTTCCATAGTGACATCCGTCATTTCTGACACCTTCATATTAGAAGATATGTCATTTCTTCCAGTATCTTTTAAATCTGATTCCAATTCCTTAGTGGAAGGAGTAGCAATAGTTACATTTGGAATCTTCTCCCTTGGTGAAGTGTCTGGTCTTGTAGTTTCTTCCAAAGTTGCCGTTATTTCTCTGGAAACAGGAATCTCCTCTGGTACCCCTCCTCTGGAGGCCATTCTTTTTCTTCCTGTATTTGGTTTTGGTTTTGGTCTCTGAAATCGAGTCCTTAGAACTGGAGCTTGTTTCAGTTTATTTGCTTTACTGCCCTCTTGAATACTTAAAAAAAGAGAGAGAGAGATAGACAAATTTTAAACCAGACTACCAGTTGAACAGATGACAGTTAAGAAATCCCTATAGAGACACTAAAACAAAGATAGATTTGCCAAACAAGGTGGCACACGTCTTTAATCTCAGAACCCAGGAGGTAGAAGCTGGAGGATTTCTGTGACTACAGAGTGATTTACAGAACAGTCAGAGTTATACAGAGAAAACCTGTTCCAAAAATATGAAAATAAAATAAAAATGTAATAATATATAAGACCCAAAATGGTAGCATACACCATTAATCCCAGGACTAAGAAGGCAGAGGCAGGTGAATCTCTGAGTTTACACAGAGTGTTCCAGGATAGCCTGGTCTATTTAGATAAAGTTCCAGGATAGCTGGGCATACATAGTGAGACAATGATTTTTGGTTTTGTTCTTTAAAAAAAAAAAAAATTTTAAAAAACATTTTAAGAGACTGAGGTGTAATTCAGTGGTAGAATACATAATGAATATGTAGTAGGCCCTGAGTTTACTCACAACACCAAAAAAAGTAAAGAAAATTAATCAAGTCCCAAGAATGTCTGTCTAGATAGAAAGGGAAAATAAGAGAGAAACAATCCAATTAGTTGAAATTACAAGTTTACAAAAATTATTTGTATCTATGTTTGTCTAGACATATGTAGAGAATATTAATGAGGTCTGTTAGAGCACCAGCTGATTGTGCTTGAATAGTGACCTTCAATGACCCCTCTGCAGACAAATAATGGCTAGGAAAAACTCTGCAGAATTCTGCAATCATGCTAGCTCAAGTGGCATCTGCTACTTTTACATCATTATTCCTACTATCTTTTACCTACACATACACAGTCATAACAGACCTCAATAGCTAGGTGGAATTAGGACTCAAGTAAGAAAATGTCTTATGACTAAGAACAAGATCTACCCTTTATACTTTTATAAGACAATTTAAAATAAGATTTCTAATACTATAGTTTAGGAGCATATGTTCTCAAGATAAAAGAATAAATAACATAATATTTTGCTGAATTCTATTTAGCATACAATCAACCATTATATCAAGCACTTTTTTATATTTTAGTCATCACTAAAATATGGCAAACCCAATAAAATAAAGGGAGCTATTAAGTAAGGTCATTAATGGGGAGAAGCAGAGCACAGCTTTAGTCCCAACATTTGGAAGAGGCAAGTGGATCTCTGTGAGTTCAAACCCAGCCTGGTCTCCACAGCCAGTTGAAGGCTATTCAATAATACACATTGGGGGAGAGGGGAATACAACACACAACATGACACCACAAGTGATGACAGAATAGGGAAGAAGAGGAGGGGTCACTGAATTGTGTGCTGAAATCAAGCACATGGGCTGTGGATTACAAACCTGCGGACTGTCTGGGCTACTTAACCAGACTGGAAAAAGACAGAAGCAGGAAGGAGAGAAGGGAAAGACAAGTAGAAAAAGGGAAAGTAGGAGAGGAGAAAAAAAAAAAGTCACTAATCTTGAGTACAAGCGCCCAAATGAAACACTAGATTTACTCAGCAGGTCAGGCTGAACAAGTGCATAAACATGCACATACACCTAGCTTTAAAAAGTTTTGGGACAACAGATGGCATCGAGGGTAAAAGTGCTTGCCCTGCAAACTTGACGACCAGAGTGTGATTCCCAGAACCCAAGACAGGAGAAAGACTTGTGAAAGCTGTTCTCTAGCTTCCATACACATGCCATAGCACATGAATACCCATACTCACACAGACATAACACACACACTGAATATGAATAAATAGGAGTTTTTTAAAAGTTTTGTTGAAAATAGCTTGCAACAAACAAAAGAGAGAGAGAGAGAAAAGGAACAAAAGAAAAGAGCTTGCAAGAAGAGAATTTGAGAAAAAGATGGAGTACAGCTGAATAGGATAAAAAATATATTCTACAGCTGTTTAATAGAAACTGACTAGATTCACAAGACACACACACACACACACACACACACACACACACACACACACACACACTATAAATGGTAAAAACTGATCAGTCTCACCCCTAGACAAGGCAAACTGCAAACAAGACTCGAAGATAAGCCCAGCCCAAAAGAGAAACAGAGACCAGAAGAGCTGCCTAGAAAAGTTCAGACAACTTGCTGCACCCTGTCTAATCAGCGGAGCTACCTGCAGACTGTGCAGTGTGCTCCACATCCCCAGCTTTTGGGAGCTGTTACCTATACTGAGTGACACAGCTGTCTTTGAGTAATTTCTGCTCCTGTAAGCCACCTCTCACACATACTCCTGTAAGTAACCACAGTAAAACTCATCAGTTCACCAAACTGGACATTGATGCAACAATTTGGTCTGTCATGAGCTCACTCTATCGGAGGTGATTAGACGTGAATGTGTTGCGTCTCCCCAGTAAAAGTCAGTCTCACAATAACAGCATAGGAGAATAACTATGATTCAGGAATACTAATTCAAAAATAGTTAATAGAAAAGAACTGAGACATTCCTAATACAAGTCTATGGTAACAGACATGTCAATTACACTAATCTGATATATTTGTATATATGAATTAAAATGTCAACACTGTATTCGATAATTATAATTACTATGTCAATTAAAAGTAATATATTTTTGAAAAGAGGTATTAATGAAACATTGCTCCCTAGGAAAAGAACGTCAACATTTATTTTTCTATGGGAAAGATGCCTGAATACAAGTATTAAGATTAACCACCCATGATACTTAATAACAACAAATGTTAAAAAACCTATTTGGAGTAATTAAACAGTATCATCGGTTGTCCACTCTGAAGATAGCCAATGAAAGAAAATTTTATCACAGTCCACACAAGTACCAAACCACTTCCCAAAGACAAATGAGCCTAGGACCATTAAGCAGCATAAGCAATGTCTGTCTAAAGTTTTTTTTTTTTTTTTTTTTTTTTTTTAAAAAAAAAAAAGGAAGGAAGGAAGGAAGAGAGGGAGGCAGGCAGACAAAGTAAAATGTGCACATTTCATTAGTAACCAATTTCTCCTGCTTGAAATGACTACCTCCATGTGAGTTCACAGACACCCTAGGCACATAAGATCCTCTCAAGAAATAGAACACATGAGCAAATAAATTTTAAAAGCAAGCCAGGGTTCTAAATCTCAAGAAACACTCAAAAATCTTAACTAATTTTCTGCTAAGACACCATAATAAAGAAGTATTGCTTAAACCTAGAAAATAGAAATACAAAACCAACATGTCAGGTAGCTGCAAATAAAATCTATTACCGATGTGTAATAAGGAAGGTAGTTCTATAGGGCACAGTAGTAGTCAAACAGTTGAAGGGAAGAAAATAATAAATGAAGCAAAAAATAAGGGAATTCCTGAAGTAAAAGAAACCTAGCTTAACTTTCAAGTTGGATGCTATTTAAACAAGTCTAAGAAAATATATCATAGGCCAGACTTTAAACACAAATGTTAGAGACAGATACATGGAAGTCCATACTGTTATCTCTGCATCTACATGCTTCCAATACTACCAAACTATAAGCATCCTAGTAATTCTATCAAACTGGTTTGGGAAAATAATAAACAGGAACTTTAGCTATAAAAAAGATGGGGTCTACATTCAACTGACCTAATACTAAAAAACCAAATATTATTAAAAAGTAGCATTTCTATTTGGATACAGGCATCTAATTAATATGCTTGTTAAGTGAAAAGGCTATTCCTATTAACTGAGATACCAGGTGGAGCACATGCACCACCACAGGACATGGAAGTCAGAGGACAACCTGTGGAAGTGGGTTCTCTTGTCATCCCATGTGGGACCCACAGATCAAAGCAGGTTGTCAGAATTGACAGCAAGTGCCTCTTTATCCAATGAGCCATCTTGCCAACCCTTTACATGTTGTAGTTGTTGTTATTTTAAAGATTTATTTTTTAATTATGTGTATGTGTGTTTATCTATCCCACATGCATTCATGTGCTCAACAAGGTCGGAGGGTATCAGATGCCTTAGAACTAGAATTGCAATTCAGTCAAAAGCAGTGTGCTATGGTGCTGAGAACCAAGCCTGGCCCAATCTTAACAGGTGAGCCTTCTCTCTAGCACCTTAAATATTGTTAAATATAATATAAATGATACACAGATAGAGGCCATTCATTTAGTTTGTTTCTGTGGGGTCAGTGAGATGGCTCAGGAGGTAAAGTGCTTCCTTCTAAACCTGATGACCTGAGTTCCATTCCCAGGTAATGAAGGCACAGTGGGAGGAGAGAACTGACTCCCAAAAGTTGTTCACTGACCTCCATGGCATTCATACACCTCATTTCTGTCTTAAAACACAGAATAAATAAATATAATTAATTTGATCAATTTAATTAGCTCTAAAGCCCTATTAAAAATTTCAAAATTGGGGCTGGAGAGATGGCTCAGAGGTTAAGAGCACTGACTGCTCTTCCAGAGGTCTTGAGTTCAATTCCCAGCAACCACATGGTGGCTTACAACCATCCGTTATGAGACCTGGTGCCCTCTTCTGGTGTGCAGATATACATGGAAGCAGAATGTTATATACATAACAATTAAATAAGATAAAAATTTTTTTTAATTTCAAAATTATATAACTAATAAAACAATGCTTACCTTGGACATTCATCAAGAAACTTGACCTCATCAGACTGCACATTTTCAAAAGGACCCTTTTTTTCAGGCTGTGATATGACATCTTCTTCACATTGGAGGTTTTTAAGTGACTCATTTTCCATTTGTTGAGGAATCTTAATAACAAAGGCAATATTTTAGATTTTAAAATAAAACACCAAAACAAACAAACAAACAAACAGCTAATTATAATTAAAAAAAAAAATGGGTAGTGGTGGCACACAACTTTAATCCCAGCACTCGGGAGGCAGAGGCAGGCAGATTTCTGTGAGTTTGAAGCCAGCTTGGTCTGCAGAGTGAATTCCAGGACAGGCTCCAAAGCTATTTTGTCTTGAAAAATCAAAATAAAACACAAGACTTTTTACTGAAAAATCTATCTTTGCCAGGTATGATGAAGCATGTTCTGGCATTTGGGAGGTAAATGCAGAAGACCACATTCCCAAACAAACCTAGGCTACATAGAGAATTTGAGAACAAGCCAACTACAAAATATTCTGTCTCATTTAAGGGTAAATAAAATGGTAAAAATATCAAAATTATAAAATAACAGTCAAAAAACATATTTTAATGTTTTTCCTCTAGCTATCTTGAAAATCCCATAAGTCTCATCCTTACCATGTCACAAATCTTATTCTTTTCTCTCCCATAAGGAAGTAATGTTTCAGACTCATCAACTTTAGTCTGACACCATCTCATTTGTCAGAATCCTCCACAGTACTAGTATTTCTAAGTATTGTGTTAAGTATGTTAAAGACTCTAAGAAATATAACAATAGACAGGACTGGGGATGTAGCTCAGGTAGGAAAAGTGCTTGCCTAGCATACACAAGACAAGGCCTTGGTTCAATCCATAGCACTGCAGAAAAATGGGCATGGAGGCACATGCCTATAATCTTAGCACTTGGGTGAAGGCAGGAGGATCACAGCTCAAATTTATTCTCAGTTATACAGTGAATTGGAAGCCAGCTGGGGCTACATGAGTCTCTGTATAAAATATAAAAAATAAAATTATAGCAGACAGAACCCAAATGTTGAGTCATGCTAAGTCTTGGCTTTCTTCTAAGAACTATATAAATAATCTGAAACTCCATGAGCCAGGGATATAATTCAATAGCAAGAGTGATTTCTTAGCATGAAAGAGGCCTTAGGTTTTTCTTCAGTCTGTCTGTCTGTCTGTCTGTCTGTCTGTCTGTCTGTCTGTCTATCTGTCTATCTGTCTATCTGTCTGCCTGCCTCTCTGTGTCTGTCTCTCTGTCTCTGTCTCTGTTTCTCTCTGTCTCTGTCTGTCTCACACACACACACAAAATTCATTGTCTGTTTTTGGAATTATACTTGAAAAGAACACTTTCAATATTTTGTTTAAGCCAATGTTAAAATTCACACATACGACTATCTTTTCAAACGGAGGCTGAGAATGTGGCTCAAGGGTAGAGTGCTTGCCTAGCTGGGCTCAATCTGAAGCACAGGGAAAAACCAAGTCCAAATATGAGATAAGATGAGAGCAAACCAAGAGTCATGTACAATGCTCGAATATCTAAAATAACAATGAACAAAACTCCTCACTATGAGATTTTGGCCACAAATGTAATAATAATAAACAACACACACAAGCTTACTTTAAAAGAGTGAAAACTTTCATTAAGGCTTACATACTTACTTAATAAATGTTATCAGAATCAACATACCACAACACAGGTTTCATTTTTTTCTCTATCAACACCAGATTCATCTTCATTCTTCTCTACATGGGCCCCAATTTCTTTCTGTGGTGTAGGACTCTCTTTTCTTTCTGCAGCTTTCTGTATATTTGGCCTTGGTCTTTGCATTCGGCCCCTCATTAGTCGTGCAGGTCTTAAGACCTTTGGTTGACCATCTTCTGGTATATAAGATTTTTCGCTCAAACTATAATCACAAAAAAATGAGAGTAGGATTACAGTAAAGTCATAACGTTGCTTGGTTAAATAAATAAGTAAATCATGTTAAATGGCGAGCATTTTAAGTATCCTCAAGAACATCTTGAAAAATATTCACTATACATCTATACCCTACTCTTGCAAACAGACGAGTCTGGAAGCCTAGCTATAAAAACCTCATGAACAGATACCACCTAATCCCACTCCCAAGACACAAATCGGCTTCTGCAAATATGTCTTCCCCATCACTGATGAGGAACTAAAATCACCCTGAAAATGTAACTGTGACAGTTGGTGGTAAGAAAACCATAAGCTATCACCATCCTTCTCTGGACAATCCATTTAAATATATAAAACATACCCCCAGCCAGATCCTGTGCATAATAATAAAGAAACATATGGCTAAGTGCTAAAAAACATATGAGACGAAATAGATGACCACCCTGGGCAAAGACACTGATGAACAGCTTAGCAAAATGTTCTTCAGTAAGCAGTGTTGTCGATGGTTACAGACACAATTATCATAGGCATCATAAGAAAGTGAATCCTCCAAAACTCAGGTGCTATTGAGGTCCTCAGGAGAATCAAGAGAAATGTTATCCTGTGCCTCATTTACCATATGTTTCTAGTAAAGCTGCTTAGTAGTTGTAAGTCTTTTAAAAAGCATCAAAATCATACTTCAAAAATGGAAAAATCTGTATCTATCCAATATGTGACACTATTATTTTTCTTTTAGGACATCACTGTATAATGCCAGGAATCAGTGCCCACTTAAAGAACAGCATCCTATTTAACAGCCCAGAATCTACTCCTCACAACCATATTTGAAGATAGCTTGTCTTATATCTTTATAAATCACTTGCTACAAATACAATCATCCACAAACATATCTTAATCACTCATTTATTTGACAAAACTTATTAGAAAATATTAGTAAATTGAAGGAAGCACAAAATTACTAACTCAGTGTATTCATGCAATCATTTAAAAATTTTATTTTGGGTGGTGGTGGCGAAAGCCTTTAATCCCAGAACTCAAGAGACCGCTCTCTATAAATTTGAGGCCAACCTGGTCTACAGAGCAGTTCCAGGACAGCTACACAGAGAAGCCCTGTCTCAAAAAAGAAAAGCTAAAATTCTTATTTACTTACTTTTGAGGCTGGGCTCCTGTACCACAGGCTGGCCTCAAATCACTCTGAAACGAGGATAATCTTGAACATCCAATTCACTCATCTATTTATCTCCAGTGCTGTCATCACAAGCATATGCCACCACTATTGGCTTATAGGAGGCTCCAGATTGAACCCAGAGCTTCACACACACTGACCAGATGCAGCCCCAGACCCACCCACACCATCACTTCTACCTGTATCATTAAGCACACAGAACACTGTTAAAAGTTCTTGCTATCATCTATAACGAAAACAGACTTGAAGTACCCCAGTTGAAAATTCAGACTTTATTAAGAAGAAAACTAGTAATTACAACCACTCCTGAAGGCCGTTTCTTCCCAAGTACTTACTCAGACACAGTTTCAGCACCTAGGTTCTCTCTTTCTATATTCTCTGTCCCAGAATTTTCAGATATATTCATTCTCTCCTTTTCCACATGATTCTGTAAATGTAATTTTTTACATTTAAGCTACTTACAATAAAATCTTCCACTGAATGGGAATTAAAACAAAGTAATCTTAAGTGTTTTATATTTATAACTGAGCAATTTTCTAAAAATTCTAACTACAGATAAAAATATTATAAAACACACAATTTATACACAGAAGACCCTTGCCAACATGAAGAGTCTTTAAAATGTTCCTATCCTTTGACCACTAATATCATTTTAGACTGCATGTTAAGGAGTGAAGAAGCTAGGTATGGTATTAGATGCCTTTAATCCCAACACTCGGGAGACAGATAGGCAGATCTCTCTGGGTTTAAGGTCAGCCTGGTATACATAGAGTTTTAGGCAAACCAAAGATATGCACCTTGTCTCTTAATTAAAAGGAAGAAATTAATTAAAAGGGAGAAAAAAGAAAAACTGAAATAGCAGTTTAAAAGTTATTTAGGACACACTTAAAACAATTTTAAGACTATAACTCCCACAAATACAAATAAATAGGGCCTATATTTAATTAAGACCTTGTCTCAAAAAAAAAAAAAAAAAAGAAAGAAAGAAAGAAATTGAGGGGTCCAAAGGAAAAGATGCTTGCCACTGATCCTTACAGCCTAATTTTAATCTCTAAGACACACATAATGGAAAGAGAAAACCAACTTCTTGGCAAGCTATCCTCTGATCCCAGCCCCACCCAACCCACACATACTAGGTTGTTTTTTTTTTTTAATTTAACAAAAGTAATTTAAACCATGTAAGTACTAGAATGTTCACAATAGTGTGTAAAATGATCTACACTGTTAAGTTTATAAAAAATGAAGCAATGGGGGCTGGAGAGATGGCTCAGTGGTTAAGGGCACTGGCTGCTCTTTCAGAGGACCTGGGTTCAATTTCCAGCACCCACATGGCAGCTCACAACTGTCTGTTACTTCAGTTTCAGGGGATCTGACACCTTCACACCAATACACTTAAAATAAAGTTAAATAAATTATTTAAAAAAAAATGAAGCAATGGTTAAATAAATGCAGTTATACTACATTGCCAAAGTATTATTTAAAAATGTTTTCTAAACATGCTTAAATAGCACTAAAAAGAAGTTTATAAAATTTTAAATACTAAAGGATTAAAAAATGAATAAAACCTGAAAGATCATAAATGTTTGGTTCACTGGGGAAGTTCTTGCCTCACAGTCTATAGCTTCTACCCTGACTGTTATCCTGACAGCAAGAGAAGGAAAACAGAAACTTGGAAAGAAAAATGTGAACAGACTAGGTTGCATATAGATAATAAAATTATAAGTAATTTTTGTTTTGATTCTTTGTTGTTGTTGTTTGTCTTTTGTTTTTCGAGACAGGGTTACTCTGTGGCTTTGGAACTAACTCTTGTAGAACAGGCTGGTCTGAAACTCACAGAGATCCGCCTGCCTCTGCCTCCCAAGTGCTAGGATTAAAGGTGTGCACTACCACCGCCAATCAATCAATTATTTCCAAAATGTCTACGTAAAATCTGGGCCATCATGATGGCTCAGTGGTTCAAGAAACTTGCCACCACACCTAATGACCTGAGTCTAATCTTCCAAAACCACACAGCAGTAGAAAGAGAAATGTGTGTGCTGTGCCGTATGCATGCCACCCTCCTTTTAACAACAAAAGGACTATAGGAACTGAAAACATAGCTCAGTGGAAAGGCATTTGCCTATCATGTGCAAGGCTGGGTTTGAGCCACAGAACTGCCAAAAGAAAAAGAAAGAAAAAAAAAAAAAAAAAAAAAAAAAAAACATATAATAAAGACAGTATTTCACCAGAGTCAAGATGAAGGGCAGTGGTAGAGCACTTACCAGCTCTCATGAGAGACTCAGTCCCACCCATACACAACAGTTCAAATGAGAGAAGGGGAGAAAAAAGAAAAACTGAAATAGCAGTTTAAAAGTTATTTAGGACACACTTAAAACAATTTTAAGACTATAACTCCCACAAATACAAATAAATAGGGCCTATATTTAATTAAAAGATTTATTAATTAATTATCTATGTCTACTTATGTACCTATGTATGAGTATGTGCAAGTGCCTGGGGAGGCCAGAAGAATTGAGATCCCCCTGGTGGAGGCATTACAGAAGGTTGTGACTTATCTGATGTGAAGGCGAGGAATGTAATTCAGATCTTTTCTAAGAGCAACATGAGTTCTTAATGGTGAGCCATCTTCCCAGCCTAAGATCATTTAGTTAATGCAAATCATAACATGCTTTCTTTTAGCAATGCATGCTAGCAACCATAAAAAAAATATTTTGACTACTTTGAACAATAATCACAATACTGACAGAAAATTTTTTTTCTATTTGAAAGCCCTATTTCCCATGTATGGTGGCACATCCCCTTTAATTCTAACACCAGGAGACAGAGGCAGGTGGATCTTTTCAAGTTCCAGGCCCCTGGTCTACATAATGATTTACAGGCCAACCAGGACTACACAGTAAGACCTGACTTGAAAACTACAAAACACTATTTACAAAATTACTTTATTAATGAAAAAACAAACAACAACAACAAACCCCTGGAGCAAGAGAGATAACTTAGTAAAAAGGGTGCTTCTGGGGCTGGAGAGAGGGCTAAGCAATTAAGAGCAATGGCTGCTATCCAGTGGACCTGGGTTCAATTCTCAGCACCCACATGGCTGCTCAAACTGTCTCTAACTCTAGTTCCAGAGGATCTGACACCCTCACACAGGCATACATACAGACAAAACACCAATACACAAAAAATAAATGAGTAATTAAAAAAGGGAGGTACTTATGATCCCATAATCCCAGTGTTGGAAGGTTGGAATCTAACAGAACCCTAGAACTCATCAGCCAGCCATTCTAGCTTAACTGAGAAGCCTCAAACCGAAAAGAAACCCTAGGTGAAGAAGCAAAGTAGAAAGAAGGCTACTGAGAACTAACACTGAAGCTGATCTCTACACAAAAGTGCACATATATGTACCCACAGATGCATGCAACACAAACATGAAATCAAACACACAAGAAATATTTTTGAATAAACATTTTATGCAATTTAAAAAGTGATCTGGGGGGGATGTAGGTGAGTGGTAGAATGTGTGTCTAGCATGAGCAAGGCCTAGGTTCAATCCCTAACAGCACACAAAAAAGAAAAAACAAAAACATCAAATTTATCATCACTGATATTCTTTTTCAAATGTTATACCCCACATTCTAAACACCTGAAACAAAGACTAATAAAAACAAATCTAATTTTAAGTTTTTGTGTCTTACTATCAGTAACAATAGTTTGAAATTACAAGATAAATATTTTATTTGTAATTACTTAGAAAATATTTTTATAGCTTTAATTTCCATTCAATCTCTTAAACCACACCTTTTCAGATGAAGTTTCCGAAGGTGAATTCTTGTTCCTTTCATCTTGCTTATCTTGTGGAACAACTGATTTTTTCCCAACTGCCCTTGACAGATTAGGTTTAGGTCTCTGGAGTCGACTTCTTGATTTTGGTTTAACAGTTTCTGTTTGTTCAGTCTCTCTTAAAAAAATAAAAGATATTATTTGAATTGCAACCAACATTTAGTTATGTTCAAATAAAACTCTAAAAAGCTGGAAAATAAGACAGCTAGAATTCAAAGATTTCCTTAAAGCCCTGAAGATAGCAAAGGAAGCTGAGAGACTTACTATATGTTAAAAAAAACATCAACATCAGTGGTACCAAGACGGATAAGTATGTAAATGAAACAAAATAGAAAGTGATTCCAAATCAGATATGGCTTTAGAACATAATAAAGATTGTCTCTCAAAATAGAAAAGTTGAAATGAGTAACAGAATTCTTAAAAATAAATGTTATGCTAGATTTGAGGGTACACACCTTTAAACATAGCACTCAGGAGGAAGAGACAGTGGATCTAAGTTTGAGAACATCCTGAAATACACAACAAGTTCTAGGATAACCAAGATTACATAGGAAAACCCTGTCTCAAAAAAACAAAAGCAAAAAAATAAAAAATAAAATAAACATTACGCAAAACTAACTTGTGATGGGAAAACTGGTTAACAAAACAGAGTGCACTCCATCCCATACCCTGTACTGGTAACATATTCCAAGTGGAACAAACATTTAAATGAAGACAGAAAAAAAAAAAAAAGAAAGCTACTTTATAAACTTTAGATTGAGTAAATCTACGATTTCATAAAGAGTGGGAAAAAATTAGAAGTCAGATAACATAAAATGAAACCCTGGGGGTTAAAGAGATGGTTCAGTGGATTAAGGCACTTGCCATCTAGAGTCCAATGCCTGGAAGGAGAGCACTAATTCCCACAAACTGTCCTCTGACTTTTGTATGTGCTCCATGACATGAGCCCGTACACATACGTACACCACACACACACACACACACACACACACACACACACACACCCTTTAAGTAAATAGTTCCATTTTTAAAATCTTCACTGAAAAACTTAATTTCAAACCAGCGTGAAAGTGAACACTATAAAGTTGTAAAAATAAAGATATTTCTTACATAAAAGTATGGGAGGGACCATGCAAAATGGTATTATGAGTATGCTAAAATTAGGTTTGTTTCAGCGTCCATTTGTCCTTAAATAAAGAAACACCGCTCTCTCATTAGAAGGAAGACAGGGTGGAAGAGACTTTGCTCTGCTTTTGTGCTTCTTATTGTTTAACCAAACAGTTTATTCCAAAAATCAATTTTAAAACTCTGATTTTCAATGTGGTGTGCTTTACTAAAAATAAGCATTCATGAGCTGAATGAGTTTTGTTCCTTTTCTTTTCATGTGCATGTAATATACATGTGATATACAACATGTGTGTTCATGTTGATGTGTGGATGTGAGTGGCCGTGTGGGCCTGTGATGGATGTTCTTGGTTGTGAACTTGACTACTTATGGAACTAAGACCAAAGGGATGGAAATACCTGTGAAGGATTTTTTTAATTAAATAATTTGGAGTGGGAAGACCCACTTCTAATCTGGATCTTTGGGGCAGGAAGACACCTTTAATTCAAATCTTTAGAGATGGGAGGAGCCATCTTTAATCTGGGCCACACCTTTTTCAACAACCTATATAAAGGACATGGAAGAAGGAAGCACTTTGCTCTTTGCCTGCTTGCTCTCACTGGCAAGTCCATTCCTTCACTGGCACTGAAGCCTACTTCTTCGGGACTCCAGCACGTAATGAAGACCAGCTAACACCCATCCTCATGGACTGAACAACTACTGGATGACTGGAACTTCCATTGGTAGACATCTATTTTTGGACTAGCTAGACGACTGCCTGTAAGCCACTCTAATAAATTACCTTTCTGTGTATATCAATGTCCATGTGTGTGTATATGTGTATCTATATATACATATGTGTATATACATATATATATGTATGTGTGTGTGTGTCTATACACACACACAAATCCACATACACACATATGTGTGTGTGTGTCTCTTTTAAAATACTAAATGTCTATCTTTAAAAATAAAGTTTATAAAAGGCTGAAGCGACAGCTCAGCCTTCCAGTATTAAATGAGCCTGGTATGTGTGATGTCCTGTGTTTAATATCAAAATCAAAAAAGAAAATGGGAAGAGAATGTTTAATAATTGTATAAAATGTGTAAAAACATACTTACGGTGGTTTATTCTTGAGGTCAGTATTTCTTTCTTCCATACAAGTACTTCCAGCATTATTTAATTCACAAGAGGCAGCACCCCCAACTTCTGACACAGGAAAATCTGAACCACTTGACTCTAAGGACTCACTTGCTAGTGGCATGATGTCCTGTTGATCACTATGGAAGGGAAAATGTATCAGGAGGAAACAAATTCCTAGAAATAAGTTTTCATACCACTAAAAGATTCTCTCTCTCTCTCTCTCTCTCTCTCTCTCTCTCTCTCTCTCTCTCTCTCTCTCTCTCTCTCTCTCTCTCTCTGTGTGTGTGTGTGTGTGTGTGTGTGTGTGTGTGTGTTGGTATGGTGTGAAACTCTTCTCATCACTCAGCAACTGTCCACCTTGTGTTGTGTGTTTTTTTTTTTTTTTTCTTTTTCTTTTTTTTCGAGACAGGGTTTCTCTGTGGCTTTGGAGGCTATCTTGGAACTAGCTCTTATAGACCAGGCTGGTCTCTAACTCACAGATATCCGCCTGCCTCTGACTCCCAAGTGCTGGGATTAAAAAGGTACGTGCCACCACCACCCAACCCACCTTGTGTTTTTGAACGGAGGTTTTTCATTGTCCTGGGGCCCACCAATTAGCCTAGGAAGGCTGGTGAACAAGCCCAAGGAAATTATCTCATCTCTGCCTCCTACACACTGGGATTATCAGTGTCTAACACTACCTGGTTTTTTATATGGGTGCTGGAAATTAAACTTGAACATCATGGCAGTCCATGACGGTGATCCCAGCACCTGGAAGGCTATGACAGGAGGATTTGTTTGTGTGTGTGCTTATTTGCTCTGGGTGAGGGAACTACTAGTAGAACCTGCTAGGTAACCCAAGCTAACCTTGAACTTATGATATTCCTGCCTCAGCCTCCTCAGTGCTAGGATTTCAGGTGTGCACTAGCACATCAAGCTGAAAGATAATATACAATGATTTGCAAAAAGAAAATTAACCAAGAGGCTCAGCATTTAAGAGTATACACTGCTCCTGGAGAGGACTCACATTCAGTTCTTTTCAACCACACCAGGCAGTCAAAATCACCTATAATTCCAGTCCAGGGAAATTCAATGCCTCTCTGGGCACCTGCACTCATGTATACATATGCACACAGACACATACATGCATACATAATTAAATAATAAAGATATTTTAAAAGTTAATAAAGATACAACAATCCTAGCTATGTACAAGCCTAACAAAAAGGCACAAAAATAAATGAAGTCAAACAAACAGAAAGAGAAGTGCAAATCCACAATGACAGTTGGAGACTTCAAAACTCCTCTCCCAGATAAAGCCAGTAAAGAGGCAGAAAATACCATGTAAAAGTAACGGAATCAGTTCTCATCTCCATCTTTTCATTGGATGCTAACCCTGTGACATCATCTATGTTCTGTGGGAAGGAAGGTATCTGTTCCTTATTGCATTCACCTTCATTTTCCTCAGAAGGACATGTATCTAAGGGATATAAAACACGTTATTCAAAAAAAAAAAATAGAAAAGTTATCAATATTTTAAAGCATAATGAATTTATATGTAACATTTTTCTTTTCCTACAAAATATTAATCCACTCAACACTCAAGATTTAATTTGTTTTCTTGGACAAATTTTGTTTTGTTGTTTAAGCCTTAGCCTTTAATATCTAAGCAATCTCTGCAGCCCTTTTACTTTCTAAATTTTATTACATTTATCATTGTCCTTTGTGTCCATGTATGTGCGTGTGCATGAGTGTTCACATGTTCCATCACATACATTCAGAATTCAGAAGACAACTCTGTGGAGGTAACGTTCTCCTTTCACCTTTGAGGGTTTGGGGATTCAACCCATGTTGTCAGGATTGCATGGCGAGTGCCTTTTCCCTGCTGAGCCATCTCAAGCACACAAACAGACTCAAAATAAATACATGTAATAAAAGGCACTAATATTACTAACCCTATGATGAAAGAACCACCTATGTTCCAGCATCTTAAGTTACTCAACAATATTTTACATAGAAAAGAGCTAGAACTGATAATTAAGCTATTCTGCTTTATATGTAAAATCTCTCTTCTTTTGATTGAGGCAGAGCCTAATGCAATAGGATAGCCTCAAACTCATTAGGTAGTCAAGGATAATCTTGAACTGTATCTGCCTATCTATCTACCTCTACCACCCACATGGTGGGATCACAGGCACCAGGCACTTTATCCAACTTTCTTTTAACATTCATTTACTCTTTCTCTCTCTCTCTCTCTCTCTCTCTCTCTCTCTCTCTCTCGCTCTCTCTGTGTGTGTGTGTGTGTGTGTGTGTGTGTGTGTGTGTGTGTGTATGTGTTACCACAGTACCCATGCAGAGATCAGAAAGCAACTAACAGGAGTTGGTTTTCTTCTCTGTAGATTCCGGCGATCAAACTTAAGCACCTTTACCCACTGAGCTATCTCACCGGCCTCTACATGTAACATTTCTTGTAATAGTAAACAACAAGAATATAATATTATTCCAAAGCTTATAAATCAGACAACTTCAGGCCAGGCATGGTGTTGCACACCTTTAATCCCAGCATTTGGGAAGCAGGCAGATCTCTGAGTTTAAGGCCAGTCTGGTCTACAGAATAAGTTCCAGGACAACAAGGGCTACACAGAGAAACCGTCTCAAACAAAAACAAAAGCAACAATAAAAACCAGACAACTATAAGCAGGACATAAGAGCAAATGTACATAATCCCAGCACTTAAGACTGGAGAAGCAAGGCTGGGCATTGGTGGCGCACACCTTTAATTCCAGCACTCAGGAGGCAGAGGCAGGCGGATCTCTGTGAGTTCAAGGCCAGTCTGGTCTCCAGAGAGAGTGCCAGGATAGGCTCCAAAGCTACACAGAGAAACCCTGTCTTGAAAAACCAAAAAACAAAAAAAAGACTGGAGAAGCAGGAGTTCAGGATAATCCTGGGCTACACAGCAAGTCTAGTACAGTGTGTACTCCATCAGACCCCTTCACACACACACACAAAAATCTTCTTACTTCAACTACCAGAACTACCTTTTGCTTCTGGGCTTTTTCCTTTGTTTACTTCTGTATATCTGAATTTCACTCCTTCTCCATGGCTGGCTGCGTGGCTGGCCCCTGATGCCCTCTTCTCCTTGTTCTTTTTTGCTCCTTCTCTTCCAGGTTTTTCCTTCTATTTATCCTCTCTGCCTGTCAGCCCCACTTATCCTTTCTCTTGCCACAACACTGGCCATTCAGCTCTTTATTAGACCATCAGGTGTTTTAGACAGGCAAAGAATCACAGCTTCAAGAGTTAAAGAAATGCAGCATAAACAAAAGCAACATACCTTAAAATAATATTCTACAACAACCTCATGCTTAAGCAGGAAAACCCTGCCCAGAAACCATGGCTAGTGATGTCCAAAGGCACAGGGGGATAACCTATTACTTTGACACAGTATCAACTGCCTTCTAAATATTTATCTTCATAGCAAAAGAATAGTGCAGCTCTTAATCCTTAGAGAAATTTCTTCTTGTAGTTAACACAGTTAATACAAAGACTCAGAAATGGCAAAACTGCAGAAAATTAAGTGACTGTTGAGTTTAAGACTGTTCAGCCTTAAATGAACAACTAAATCTACTAGCTGCCCCTAGTCGAAACCTTGGGGGAATATCACAGAGGTGACAGAAAGTTTGTAAGAACCAGAGGCTCAGAAGACTGCTGAAAATCAGCCTTTTGGACATTTTACTTATGAACTCACAACTATATTTACAAACACAACATCAAGCCAGTCAACATTCCAGCATGGGTGGGGAGGGACAGCTCCTCAGCTGAGGAGCTCCTGGCAGGTGATGGCTACTAGGGAAGGGAGAGTCAGAGTTTTAAGGGGTGTGGCCTCTGGTTAGGTTCCCTATGCCACAATGTATTACCCACACACACCTTCCCACCCCCCCCCACCCCGTGCACACATGAGAAACACTGACTCAGCAAGTTGTTTTGTTTTTTTAAAAAGGACATGAAGCTGGGAGGAAGATATGTTGGGGAGGGTCTGAAAAGGGATGGAGGGGAACAGGCAGAGGGGATTCCTAGGTAGTAAAGGCAGGAACCTGCACGTGCTAAGCACATGCTCTACTATTAATGAGTAGTACCTCTAACTTTAAGTGTTCTTAAAGCAAGCTCTTAAGAAGGACCCAGTATCCCCTCCAGCAACACTTAAATGACAGTATGTTTAAAGCATTCTAAAACTATAATAAGAAAAAAGAAACATAAGTTCTATTAGTTTTTTGCAAAATTAAACAACCTATTACAGGCTCACAGAGGTATCCATAAAGGGAGACCATAAAAATGTGAGATTCATTACAAATAGGTGATTACCAATGATTGTTAATGGGACTATAAGAGAAATAATACATCTTTGGAACAATCTGGAGAAAATTCTCCCTGCTTCACTCTTTTTGCTTCCTTCAGTTATGTTTTTTCTCTTTAACTAAAACTAAGATGACAAGAGAGAACATGGCACTGAGCACACAACCACTTAACAAGCATTAGGAATGGCTATTATCCACAACAATGGCATCTGTCATTCACACTACTGTACACGGCTGTAATGTACATGTAAAACATAGGTTCCTAGGAAGTGTTTGGAACTTACTCTTGTGTATTTCTGCTACAGGAGGAGTTGACTCAACATGGACATTTCCTAAAGGATTTGTTGCTTCCTGTTTATCAGCTTCATCTTGGTTCTTCCTCCTCCTCCTCCTCCTCCTCTTCTCTTGATTTTGGTCTTGCTCTACCATGGCTTGTTCTAACTCCTGGCCTGACGAAGTTGGTGATTCTTCAGCAACTGTCTGAGCACTCTTTTGAGATCTTTCTGGGTCTGAAACGTTACTATTTACAGACTCATCTGGATCATCATTCACTTCTTCATTAGTTACCTTTTTTGCTAAAAACAAGAGAAATTGTTATAAATCCATGAACTAACTTACAGGAAACTTACTGAAAGGGAAGAAGATAAATACTTAAAAGTATATTCTGTCATGCTACTTTTGTGCAAAAACTGAAGACAGACTAAAAGAGGGAAAGAAGAAATCAGTTGTAACATTCACACTATAAAAGTCCATGCAGGTACCGGCTAGGGTATGGCTCAGTGGTAAAGCACCCTACTTAGCATACACACAGCCATTGGTTCAACTCCCAACATTGCCACCAGGAACAAAAAAGGGATACATATATGCAATTAACAATAATAAAGTAAGCTTGTATACATTAATGGGATGGAATTCAAAGTATATAGTTAAACTTCATGTGGCAGAAATATTTACATATTTATGAGCTTTCATTTCCATTTTTAAGAAAATTACATACACACCAGCATGTGTACAGGAAAGGGCTTGGTGACAGTTAATCCTGGGAATTGTGAAGAATTTGCTTTGAACTTCATGTAGGACAAAGAGTTCTAGAATTGTATCTTTTGTATCATTTTGGGTTGTTTGGTTGACTTTTTGAGACAAGGTCTGATGTATCCCAGATTGCTTCAAACTGAAATTAGGCATGAACTTGTGATCTTCCTGCCCCAACCAAGGATCTTTTGTATCATTTTGTGGTGCTGAGGATCAAATCCAGGCAGTCTTCTGGACTAAACTACATCCCCAGACTGAAACATTGTTTTTCCTTTTAAATATGTAAGTGTGTACACACACAGTATATGGGTATCTGGAGAGGCTAGAAGAGGGCATCAAATGTCATAAAGCTGCAGTTATAGGCAATTGTAAGGCACACCAACACGGGTGCTGGGAACCAATGCCAGTCTAATTTAAAAGCAACAAAGTATTCTTAACCTCTGAGACATCTCTCCATCTCTTATCAGGCCTCTCCAAAAGGTACAAATTCACACACACACACACACACACACACACACACACACCAACCACACCACACACACACACAAAAAAATAAATAATTAAGGGAGCTGGTACTTACCCTGGATAACTGGCAAAGCATTAATAGTAATAATATTAATAGTAATAAGAATAAGAATAATGATAGTAAGACTAATAGTAAGTCCCTCCAACTGTACACTAACTATTCGAATAACATCTAAACTCTCACTGCCTAAGAGGCAATACTGTAAATTCATCACTAGATGCAACTGTACAATCAATACCTTTTACATTTTTCCGTGGCTTGGAGGTCTTTTCTTTTGAACTCTGACATTTATTAGATTTTTGTTTTCTTTTTTCTTCTTCAGCAAGAACTTTCTGAAGCAAATGAGCAAAAAAATCGAAGTCAAAAGGGCGTTTTTCCTCTGTAAGAAAGGGGGGAAATTAATTTTATTTTTTTAAAAGCAGGAGATCTCTAGTTTTCATAGTAGTACAACATCCAAAGCAAATGAACTTATTTATTAGACAGAGCATGGATAAACAAATATATGGCACTATCAAGTAATAAAACAAAAAAGGTAATTTAACAAGGGCTAAATGTGTAAGAGCTCAGTGACAGAGCACTTACAGCATACACAAGACCCTGGGTTTAAGCCCCAGCATCAAAGAATTAATTAAATTAAAATATTAGGTTGATGCAAAAGGAATTGCTGTTTTAGACCGTGAGTTTTATGTCATTATAGGTTCAAACACATCTTTCTTAATCAAAATAGAAGCCATTCCAGTCAACACATTTCTTGCAATTAAAAGTAACGTGTGTTTTGTTTTGTTTTAGTCCCTGTGATATAAAATGCATGCTTGGGATCCAATGAACTCTTGGAAAGTACTTTCTGCTTCTTTTTGAGGTAAAACAGTTCCCTTGTAAAAACCTGTGGAGATGTTTGGAGAAGTGACAAGTCACTGCACCAGGTTCAGGTGAACATAACAGAGTACGCAAAACTTTGTGGCCTAAGCCAGTTGTGGTGGCACACACCTTTCATTTCAAAGGCAGACATCTTTGTGAGTTAGTTCAACGCCAGCTTGAAATCAGCCAGCTCCAAATCAGCCAGGGTTTACAGTGAGACCCTGACTCAAAACAACAACTGTAGCCTAATTTGTTCAAGTTTCAATTTCTGAAGCATTGGTTGTGTGATGTAAGGTTGGGCATTGTGGGGAATCAGGCTCTTTCTATTGACCAATGCTGGCTGCACAGCTCATGGATTTGATGGACATATTTCTTAGGTGTAATAATTTCATCAGATTTCAGAAAGTTGTGGATCAGACTCTACCAGACAGTGATCATGATCCAACCCTTTTGGGGGCGGTTCAAATCTGGCTTTGAGAAGTGCTTTGAAGCTTCTTTTCAGTCCAACCACTGTTGGGCACTGCTAGATATCTTACACGATCCACTTTTTATTTATTATACATCACAGTGCAATCCACTTTCCATTGCATGTCATAACCCAATAAAGAAATGGTAAAACATTGTAAGCAGAATCAGGACAACAGTTCAAGATGACTTTTTAATCAAGTTTTTTCATGTTTCCAATTTGCTTCAAATGTCAAATAACCACTGAATGATCTATACTGAGTTGTATGACAGCACCATTAGAATTGCAAAAGTATATTCAACAATTGCTCAGTTTGCTACATTCCTCACCTTCAATGCGCTCTTCATTGCAAACCTTCTTGAACCATTATTGCAACAGTATATTCCTTAACAGGTCCTGGACCAAATGCACTGTTATTGTTGCAAATTGTCTCCATATACATGACTGATTTTGAACTCAAATTAAAAAAAAAAAAAAAAACACAACAAAAACAAAAAACTTCAGAGACAAGAGAGCTGGCTCAGCAGTTAAGAGCACTGGCTGCTTGAGTTGGCACAAAGTAGAGTCATCCAAAAGGAAGGAGACTCAACTAAGAAAATGCCTCCATAAGGGAAAGGGACAAGATCTCTTGAGCTAATTGGAACCATGGGAGGAGGAGAGAGGGAGTTAGAAGAAAGAGAAGGGGAGAAGAGGCGGAGAGAGGAGGACAAGAAAGAGCAGGAAGATCGAGTCAGGAGAAGGATAGAATAGAGCAAGAAAAGAGATACCTTAATGGAGGGAGTCATTATAGGTTTAAAGAGAAATCTGGCACTAGGGAATTGTCCAAAGATCTACAAGGTTGACCCCAACTAACAATCTAAGCAATAGTTGAGAGGCTACCTTAAAAGCCCTTCTCCGATAATGAGATTGATGACTACCTTATATGCCAGCCTAGAACCTTCATCCAGTAGCTAATGGAAGCAGCAGACACCCACAGCTAAACACTGAGCTGAACTCTGGAATCCAGTTGCAGAGAAGGAGGAGTGATGAGCAAAGGGTCAAGACCAGGCTGGAGAAACCCAAAGAAACAGCTGACCTGAACAAGGAGTTGCTCATGGACCCCAGACTGATAGCTGGGAAACCAGCATAGGACTGTTCCGACCCCCTGAATGAGGAGGTCAGTTTGCAGGTCTGGACAATCTATGGGACGTCTGGAAGTGGATCAGTATTTACCCCTAGTATATGAATGGACTTTGGGAGCCCACTCCACATGGGGATACTCTCTCAGCCTAGACACACGGGGAAGGGTCTAGGCCCTGCTCCAAATGATATAACAGACTTTGAAGATCCTCCATGGAAGGCCTCACCCTCCCTAGGGAGCAGAAAGGGGATGGGATAGGGGACCCGGTGGGGGGCAGGGAAGGAGGGGAGGGAAAAGGAACTGGGATTGACATGTAAATGAAACTTGTTTCTAACTTAAATAAAATAAATTAAAAAAAAAAATCAGGCTGTAGGCAAGCCTATATTCTTAATTAGTGGTTGATAGAGGAGAGCCCAGCCCATGGTGGGTGGTGCTATCCCTGGGCTGGTGGTCCCAGGTTCTATAGGAAAGCAGGCCAAGCCAAGTCATGAAGAATAAGCTACTAAGCAGCACCCCTCATCCCTTCTGCATTAGCTCATGCCTCCAGATTCCTGTTCTGACTTCCTTCCATGATGAACAGTGATGTGGAAGCATAAGCCAAATACACCCTTTCCTCCCAATAGTATTTCATCACAGTAATAGTAACCCCAGCTAAGACAATGCTCTTTGAGGGTTCAATTCCAAGCACCCACAGGATAGTTCACAAGCATGTGTAACTCCAGTTCCAGGAAGTCTGACACCCACTTCTGTCTGCTTCAGGCACTGCACAGACATGCATTCAGGCATATATAAATAAAATTGTAAAAATTTGAAAGAATACCTTGGATTTGCTTTTTGTCTAATGTGATTTCCATAGTATAAATAGGTAATAAGTCAGTAGTACAAGATCATAAAGTGACAAATATGCATTAATATGATGCATAATAACCATATTTAAAAATGTAACAAATATAAAATGATAATTTCAATAGTGCAAAAACCTAAATTACTTATGCACTAACCTAATAAAAGAATCAAACTATTTATACAACCAATAAAATGGGTGAATCTCAAAAATAAAAGTAAAAGAAATCTATCACCAAGCATTGCATATTGTATGATGTCCATGGTAATTCAAATGGAAACAGCAGTGTACTTGGGCTATCCAAGCAAAGCTTGACTGGAAAGCAAACAAAAGGTCTTCTAAGTTCATAAAACTATTCTATGCATAACTTAGGGTGCTGGTTATTAGGATATATTCTTTGTTAAAATTCAAGTTACACTTTGAACTATTCTACCACTTATTTTAAGTGGCAAAGATAGGGCCAGGAGCTAATTCAGTGGTAGAGCACATGTATTAGCTGACACAAGAACCTAGGTTCACTTTTCAGCTCCCAAACATCAATGAAGATAACTAAGACATCCTCCAAATGCCTATGATTACAACATGCCCTTCTAAGCATCTATAAAGTAGAAGTAAATATAAAACGATCCAATGAATCAGAAATACTGCCACTGTCAACTGTATAATAGAGAGACCAACTGTTAAAAAAAAATAAGGAATGGATCTACAAACTTTACATCTAGACTCTGGTGAATATACAGAAAGATCACAAAAATGCCTCAGAAGAGAGAGAGATACATGGTAAACTAATAATCTGTTCTGATTCTCCACAACAATGAACTAGTACCCAAGCAATCCTAAAAGAATCTTGAGATGGTTTGAAAGGACTTAAAATATAGGACCCTTTCTAAAGAAAAAAACCATAAAGGGAGCTGGAGAGATGGCTCCGAGGTTTAGAGCACTTATTACTCTTGCAGAGGATGCAAGTTCAATCCTCAGCACAGGACCCACATGGTGAATCACAACCATCCATAACTGCAATGCAAAATGATAAAATGCACTCTTCTGACTTCCAAAGACACCACACACATGTGGTGAACATACATGTGTGCATACATTCATACACATAAATCTTTTAAAAAGCCACAGAAGTTTTTCTCTAATTTTTAAATTTCTACTACAAAGAATAAAAATCAGAAAGAAAAACAAAACTATGAAATCCATAAATCATTTTCTGATACTATATTAGGCCCAGTGGAAAGTTTCTCCATTTTTTAACTGTGAAAGTTCCTCTATTCATAACACCCCAGCTCTTTCTGGAGCCATTCCTCGAAATACTTTCAATTGAAGACACAACACTGGGCATCAGGCCCACCTACCCATCACCTACCATGGTGTCTACTCCATAAAATAAATTCACATGCTATACAGTAGATATTCTCTAAATCACATATGAATTATTTTCCCCTAAATCAGCCCTATGGCTAACTTTAACTAAAAAATTTTACTTTGAGCTGGGCATGGTGGTGCACACACCATTAATCCCAGAACTCAGGAGGCAGAGACAGATGAATCTCTGTGAATCTGAAGCCAGCCTAGCCTACATTCTGAGTTCCAGGCAAGCCGGGAGATGGGAGGAGGGGAGTTGGAGCTGAAGAAATGGTTTGGCAGTTAAGACTACTTATTGCCTTTGAAGAGGGATGGGTTGAGTTCCCAGAAACCACATGGCAGCTCACAACCACATGATAACTAGATCCCTAGTTCCAAGGATCTAATACCCTCTTCTGTCCTCTGTGGACACCAGGTACACACATGGCACAGATAGATACATGTAGGCAGTTAACATATACACACAAATTAAAATAAATCTTTAAAAAATGTATGTAGGCACAGTGATTACACCTTTCCTTCCAGCAACTGAGGGGCAGAAACAGGTGGATCTCTGTGAGTTTGAGTATAGCCTGCCGATGGGGGGGGGGTGCCCTTCTGCATATGTTTCTCTTATTGGTTGATGAATAAAGCACTGTTTGGCCAATAGAGGCAGGAAGATAGGCGGGATTAGGAAACAAGAAGAATTCTGGGAAAGGTACGCAGAGAGGGCCCGCCAAAAGGAGATGCCACGCAGATCACAAGGAGTAACAAGGTCTGGGCATTCTCTGGTTAGATAAGACCATGTGGAAATACTTAGATTAACAGAAATAGGTTAATAATTAAGACAGAGCTAGCCATCCATCAACAATTTTATAATTAATATAGTGTCCATGTGTTTTATTTGGGGCTAAATCGGCAGCAGAACCAGGCTGGAAAGAAACCAGCAACAGCCTGGTCTATGTAGAGTTTTCCAAGATAGCCAGGGCTAAACAGTGAGGTCCTATCTCAGAAAGAATTTTTTTTTTTTTTAGTTTTATTTAGAAATAATTAAATTTGGCACTATAGCTAATTTCATGGCTAAATGAATACTGACACACTAATTATGAAATGCTGATAATTATTTGTTCATGAAAAATATGTACCTTTCAAAACAATAAAAAACTATTTTAAACACAAGTTAGTTTTATTTATAGAACTCGCTCTTAAATCAGATCTAAATTTAAATGCTATCTATTCATAAAGAACTTCATTGAGGCCGGGCGGTGGTGGCGCACACCTTTAATCCCAGCACTTGGGAGGCAGAGCCAGGCAGATCTCTGTGAGTTCGAGACCAGCCTGGTCTACAAGAGCTAGTTCCAGGACAGCCTCCAAAGCCACAGAGAAACCCTGTCTCAAAAAAACAAAAAGAACTTCACTGAGGATCAATATAAGCATCAAGACCTAACTCCTTTTTCTTCATTCCAAGAACTCAATCTCTACCTGAGATTTGCTTCTCAATATCCCCTACCCATTTAAACTCAGAGCTCTCCAAGCCATTTTCCCACCTACCTTATTCACCAACACACCTTCAAGAGCAACCAGAACACAGCAGGTAATCAATGCTATTGACTCAATGACTGGCTGATGTGATCTATTTTCCATGAACTATCTCTTGAACATAGTTCCTTTCCAATAAAAACCCACTCAGGGGCCAGTGAGATGGCTCAGTTTATAACTCTTACCACCAAGTCTGACACCTAAATTTAGTCAGAGCCACATGATGGAAGGAGAACAAATTCTATAAGTTGTCCTCTGATACACATGCTTGTGCACATCCATACACAAATAGATAGAAAATAAAACTTTGAAAAAGCCATTTTTCATCATCAATTACTGTATAAATTCATGAACTTAAAACTCTGCTTACTGCCAGGCAGTGGTGGCGCACCTGCCTTTACTCCCAGCACTCGGGAAGCAGAGGTAGATGTCTATGAGTTGCCTGGTCTACAAAGTGAGTTCCAAGACAGCCAGAGCTGTTAACACAGAGAAACTCTGTCTCGAAAACAAAACCAAAACAAAAAGATTCAGCTTATCTGCTTTTGGGTATTTTGGCTAATTCTTTGATTACAGATTTGTAGCAATTACCAAACTCATACTGTTAAATAAAAAAACTAAGGCACAAGCCAGGATAGAGCATGCCTTTAAACCCAGCACTTGGGAGGCAGATGGATCTTTGTGAGTAAGGCCAGCCTGGTCTACATAGTAGGTCCTAGAACAGTCAGGGCTACATAAAGAAACCCCGTCTCAAAAACAAACAAATAAACAATAACGAAAAAGAACAACTAAGGCACAGTGGTGCATATCTATAACCCTAGCACTTGGAGGAGATCAAAAGTTACAGACTAGCCTAGAAGATACACCAAGACCTTATCAAAAAAAAAAGGGGGGGGGGGGAGCTTTCACTCTTATTCTTATGCCAATATAAGGATGAATCTAAAACACTAGAGCCAAAGTACTGGCCATTTTTCAACTTCTACACATAAGTCTTCGTGAAGGAATTCTTTAATACTTACGGAATGCTTTGTCTATTCTCCATCCATTTGTTTTTTCTTCACGTTTAAATTTATTCTGTTAACAACAAAAAGATCTAAAGTAATGTTTTGCCATTAAATAAGGATTATTTCTAATTGGTGAGCATTAATATGAAATTCTGCAAAGCACACTATCCTGTATTAAATGGTATATTTTTGCCAATAGGCTAAGTTACTTAAAGCTTTAGTTTCTAAAAAATGAAGATTGATGGCTAGAATAGATAACTCAGTGGGGAAGAGCACTGGCTGCTCTTCCAAGACTTGGGTTCAATATCTAGCAGCCACTTGGAAGCTCACAACCCTCTGTACCTCCAGTTCAAAGAATTAATGCCCTGTTCTTGCCTTCACGGGTACTGTGCGCACAAACACACACACTCCCAATAAATATAATGTATAAACTTTTTTGTAATGAGGATGAAAGATTCGCACAAATCATCTTGATCCTGTCTTTATTATCAACAGGAGAAATAAACAATGAAAGTTAGCTTTACAGTACAGAGAAAGTCATCATGGGCCAAGCTTGACAGCTTCAGTTCAACATCCAGACTGATACAAAGGTGGAAAGAGAGAGCCAACCCCCACTGAGTATCCTATTACTTGCATATACTCACTGGGTATGTGTAGGCCTATGCAAATACATATTCATAAACACACACACAGTACACATTCAAAATAGATTAAAGCCAGGCAATTGTGACTAGGCCAGGAATGGTGGTGCATGACTTTAGTCCCAGCACTCGGGAGGCAGAGGCAGGCAAATCCCTTGAGTTCAAGGACTACAGTGAGTTCTGGGACAGCCAGGGCTACACAGAGAAACCCTGTCTTAAAAAGCCAAAACAACAAAGCTACACAGAGAAACCCTGTCTTGGGGGGAGGGTGGAGCCAGAAAAAAAAATAACAAAAAAAAAAAACATTTGACTACCACACAAAATAGATAAAATGATGCATAGTCAATTAAGCTGACACTCACTTTATCCAACCTAAAATATTCCTAAGGTTAAACCTCTGACATTATTATTATTCCAAAGTGTTTTTAAGTGTAATAGAGAGAAGTCTATACAAAAAACTAAGCAAAAATTTAAACCCAAGTTTATCTCATTTATATGTGGTTCCTGATATCTATACAAAGTATATATAAGAGATTTTTTTTTAAGACAAGGACCAATGTTGTTGCCTCATGCTCACTATTCAACTATAAGATAACCTTGAATTCCTAATCTTCCTGTCTCTACCTCTTAAGTTTTGGGGTTCCAGGCATGCACTGACATGCCCCACATTTTACCTTTTACACCCTGTATGGGTGCTCAGAAATCAAACTCTGCCCTTCATGCTTACAAGGCCAGGGCTTTACCAGCTGAGACACTGCCCCAGAGCTGTTTCATGAGTTGTGTTTATTTGTGGTCTTTTAGGGCAGGGTGTCCTGCAGCCAAGGCTGGTCTTAAACTCATGATTCTCCTGCCCCCCCTTGAGTACTAGAATTACAGGCACACACCACCACATCTGACTAATGACAAAGACTTTTTAAAGTTACTAGGTCCTTAGAGAAAGATGAATCAGGAGGCTAAGTGATGAGGATCACAAATTGGAAGCCAGCCTGGGTTACAAAATGAAACCCTGTCTCAAAAGAAAAGATGAGTGATGGAGAAAAAAGAAAACAAATCAAAGAGGGTTATCACTACAAATCCTACAAATGCTAATGGTAATACAAGAGTAAAGTGTTATAGATATGAACTCCACAGCTTAGCATCAATATTGACACAAGAATTTTTTTGTTTGTTTTTGTTTTTCAAGACAGGGTTTCTCTGTGTGTATTCCTGGCTGTCCTAGAACTCTCACTGTAGACCAGGCTGACCTTAGAGATCCACCTGTCTCTGCCTCCCCAGCACTGGGATTAAAGGCATGAGCCGCCACCACCACCGGCTAAAGACTTTTCTTATCATTCTAGAAAATCTAAAAGATACTTTATAATCATAAAGCTACACTTACTCTAAGCATTCTGGTACATCTACCTTCTCTTTTCATTAACTAACTCTTAATTTCAGTATCTTATCAGTAGTCCTCAAATACATTTTAAAAGTCATAAAATTTTAGGAGATACAACTATACTAAAATTGAGAAATTTTATAAGAATAACTGTCTCACACACAACATAATACAGAACAAATGACTATGAATTAAGTTAAAAGAAAAAAAAAACTTAAAAAAAAAAACTTAGTAATTTTTTGACCCTGTCTAACCAATAAATGTTTAGGTATACTTTACCTTAATTTCTATCCTTGCTCTGTGAGGAAAAAGTTGTCCAATCATAGAAAAGTCAGTTCCTACCATGCTGATGGCTAAGAAAAACATATCTGTTTCTGTAAAAATAAAATATTAAGTAAAAATTAATTTTCTATTCAGACAGAATAACCTAAGAATATTAGTTAGAGCTAAGTTATACAATATTTAACTTTATTGAAAAGAAACTCAAAGAATTTTAAATACCCTAATACATTTCAGGAAAAAAAAAAAAAAAACTCCATATGAAAGTGTGGTGATACATGCCATAATCCCAGAACTCTGGAGGCTATGGTAACAAGAACTGCTGAGTTCCAGGACTCCTGGTGTACCCAGTGAAGATTCTAGGCCTGGACTCTGTCTCAAGCCTGGCGGGATAAGAGCCAGTTTGTGAACCCCATTTGACAGGACCAGATTTCCTGGTAGTGCCCTGCCCCATAATACCTCTGACTTGGTCTGGACCCAACAGGAACAACTATGAAAGTGAAGTAAGTGGCTCAGGAGACAACTAAAAGTTCACACTCCCACTTCAGAATGACCCTAAAAGCTTGATCATCAATCACATGTACCTGCTGGGGCAAAGTGAGGGCAACCCAACCAGGTAATAAACCAAACTTGAGTATTTTGGAATATTAGATTTCCATAAGCTAATAAAACTTACAAAATTATTATTGGCAAAGCCATGGGAAAATAATACGTTTTATAAGCAACTGGTAAAAATATAAATTGTTGGGGCTTTTGTGTTGGGCCACCTATAAAATATTCAGTGATTAGTTTTAAAACAAAAGCAAAGCGCTTAGAACAGTAAGCAAAGCTCACTGGACCTAAGGGGCTGTGGTGTTCTCTACTATGTTAAGGAAAGGGAGGGAGGAAGTGAGGGAAAATGTGACAAGCCTGACAGAACTTATCTCAAAAAAAATAGAATTGGTAATAGAGAAGTAATTATTTTTTTTACTTTTTTTAAATTTTATTTTGCCCTATATCCTGCCATGCTTAAGAAGTTTTCAACAAACTCTATTTTTATATTAAAAACCAGTAAGTACCACCATGAAGTATGTATTGTGTATGTTTTGTTGCTGTTGTCTGTTTTTTTGTTTATTTTAGGTAAGATTCTTTTTTTTTTGGGGGGGGGGGGTGTGCAGCCCTGGTTGTCCTGGAACTCAGAGAACTGCCTGCCTCTGCCTCCCAAGTGCTGAGTTTAAAGGGGTGTACCACCACCGCCTGCAGAGATAAGAAACTTTACATAGGCCAGACTGGCCTCAGACTCATGATCCTCCTGCCTAAGCCTTCTCAATGCTTGCATTCTAGGCATGCACCTTCACTGCTGGGGGATGCCTGCAGAAACATGATTAGACAGTTTTCAAGGAGAACATTATGGTGATTAGAAATATTGGAAACAGAATGCTCTCCTGGCACAAATGGCTAGTGTATGGTGCTTACACAGAAATACTGCCAATTATTCACTTAAATGTTGTTTCTTTGTAGAATTTGAAAAAGCTGAAGAATCCAGGCAAAATGATCAAAATGCTAATTCTTAAAATGAATTCCAGGGTAGAGTCAAACATACAGTAGGGGAAGGAGAAGGGGAACCAATAAGATTAAATGGATAGAAGACAATATGACAGTTTGATTTAATTTACTAGAAGTCATTCAAAAACATAAAATAGTTCATTATTTCAAAAGAGCAGCAAACAACTTTTAATGAGAATTAGTTACCTTTATTTGACCAAGGTTTTGAGTAATAGTTTTTCCTGAAGCTGGAATAAGTAGTTGTTGAGCCTCGCTCAAATATAGGATCATTTTCCTCGACAACACAGGGGCCTTTTGTTCTCAAAACTTCCACAGTTAGACTGAAAGAAAGACATTTTCAAAAGAGTCACACTAGAAACAAGTATGAAAAGCAATAGTAGATGAGATTTAAATACCTGTATTTGAAAATGTATCATAGAATATTGAAAATATATACTTAAAAAATGATTTTTAAATTGGAAATACATATTCTGCAAACATTATTCATAAGGAGCAGAAATAAATGCCAACCTGTTTTCACTACAGTATTTTCAATTTAACTTTGGACTACCTAAAAAAAATAATGATTTTATTACCTTATTTGTTTTTCTGTCTGCTTGTCTGTTTATCTATTTTTTAGATCAGGCTTTATGTAGTCCAAGCTAGCCTAGAAGTTGCTATGTAGCTGAGGATAGCCTTGAATTCCAATTCATCTATCTCTACTTCCTACATGCTGAGATTGTAGGCCTGTGCCATCACAACTGGTTTTGTTTTGTTAGTTTCTATCTACATGCCTCCTGGGCTAATATCACTTTAACTATTAATGGCAAGTAAAATCACCATCACATATAAAATCTTATCAGTATATTTGTTTATTATAGTCAAATTCAAATGTCATAAACATTTTTACAAACTAAACTTTCGAACCCTTTCATTTCTCTTTATTAACTAATCCCTTATAAAATACACACTTAAGAGCTGGAGAGATGGGTCAGCAGTTAAAAATTGCTGGATGCTCCTGATGACTTACTGTTATACCCAAAGATCAGTGCAATTCTCATCCCTCATCTGAGATACTTCTATTTGCAGTAGATGATTAACAGAGACTCACAAGGCCAAAGTGCAAAGAATAAGAGACTATGAAATATTCAGCCTAAATGTAACATATGTAACACATACTCCTCCCATGGCTCAAGAATCACTTGGAAGCCGGGCGTTGGTGGAGCACGGCTTTAATCCCAGCACTTGGGAGGCAGAGGCAGACGGATCTCTGTGAGTTCGAGGCCAGCCTGGTCTACAGAGCGAGCGCCAGGACAGCCTTCAAAACCACAGAGAAACCCTGTCTCAAAAAAAAAAAAAAAAAATCACTTGGAAAAGAGGTCAGAAAGCATGTAAGAGCCAGGATGACTACAAGGAGACATCTTCTGGACACACAGCAAGGTAGCAGCTACATATATGAACTCACAGTGACTGTTATAGCACATACAAAACCTTTGTAAGCCCGAACTAGAACAAATCCCAGCATGGAGAGGGGAGTTGAGCACAAAATCCCACCCCTACCTGGCAGCAAATAGCAATAGCAGCTGGTAAAAGGAGAGAGAGTTTTCTCTAAGTGTATATCTCCTAATAAGTTAGCCATGCTCCAATGAAATATCATACATCTAATATTTGGGTAGAACTCACTGGTCTTGAAAGGTTCAAAAAAAAAAAAGACCCCAAAAGGAAGTAAATCTAGAAATATGATCAAATCATGCTGTATAAAATTTGAAACTCTCAAAGAATTGAAAAACAAAATATATGTGTGTGTGTGTGTGTGTGTGTGTGTGTGTGTATTCCTTGCTGCTCTTTCAGCAGACTCAAAATTCAGTTCCCAGCACCCACATCAGACAGTTTACAATCACATATAACTCAAATTCCAAGAGATTGCCCATTAGGAACATACACCACAATATGAAGTTAGAGTGAGGTGGGGTGGCATACAACTTTAATACTAGTACTCAGGAGGCAGAAAAAGGTGGATCCCTGTGAAGTTCAAGACCAACCTTATCTACAAAGTGAATTCCACACCAGCCAGGGCTACACAGTGAGACCCTGTCTCGAAAAACTCAAACAAACAAATTGAAATTAGTGAATAATGTGATAAAACCTAAATACCAACTTCAAGACTGGGTCAATCGTAGAAACCCACCCTCAGTGGATAATAGCACAAAGCTGATTCAACAGCTAGACTTGATTAACAGCAAGGGGAGTAAAACAAAGTTAGGTTGACAGAAAATAGGAGAGTGATACCATCTTGTGCAAAACATGCTAAAATTACAAGTTAATTTAGTTCGCTTTTCTGTTTATATTATTCATAATGTAAATATATAAAGTGGGGGTTAAGAAGTTATACTGACAAATTCAGAAATAGAACCTCTCCTTGGACAAACATCACCTCCCTCTCTCCCTCTCTCCCTTTCACCCCATCTCCTTAACTCACCTTTCTTCATCTAAAATAATGGAACCATCTTCTGCCACTTTTACTCGAGGAACCAGCAATGGCCCATCATCTGCCTCCTCTTCCACTTCTTCATTATCGTCAGCGTCCTGAGTGCTCTGATTTTCTTGCCGACTAAATGTAAACACAGTCAATTAACTTAGCAACAAAGCATGAGTATTTCCTAAGAAGTATGAATCCAAAACAAGTTACTAAAAAAGCGATTTCAAACTTTCCATATAACTTAACTGGAAAAAAACAAAAACAAAAAGCATGACCTGCTAGGCATGGCAGTGCACAATGTAATCTGTAATCTTGGTAAGGAGGAGGATGCCATCCATCAATATGGACTTTCATTAAGACCCTGACTCAAATAGAAGGATGGATTGACAGCTAGATACACAGAGGAGGGAGGAGTTATAAAGTTTTTTCAAATTTTATTTGGTAGTATTTGTTTGCTTTTGAGACAGGGCTTCACTGTGTAGCCCTGGCTGTCCTGGAACTACTCTGTAGGTCAGGCTGGCCTTGAGCTCAGAAATCCGCCTGTCTCTGCCTCCTGAGTGCTGGGATTAAAAGTGTGCACCACTACCACCTAACTATTTGGTAGCATTAATAAGAAATTTTAAAAAATAGTAAGGAATCTTTAATCTTTTAGAATAAAAAAATGGTATCAGATGTGTAACTCATTGGTACATAGTATACATTGGGTTTGAAGTCAATAGTAAAAGAAAATGAATAAATAAATGCTATCATTCTGTCTTCACAGAGTATCAAATAAACCACAGAATTAACAAAAACCCTTCCCACTACCTATCAGACAACTTCAATTCAGAACAGTCCTACAGGCTAGCAGTGTTATGCTCACTTGAGAGTCAGAGAACCTTCACTCTGGATTGCAGAACAGAACTAAAAGCCAAGCAAAATTTTTCTTTGTCTAATTTTTCTTTGGAAGCTATTTTCATTTTTATTTATTTGATGTGTACAGGTATTTTGTTTGCATGTATGTTACACTCTGTGCATGCCTAGTGCTGTGGGAAGGCCAGAAGAACTGGGGTTACAAATGGTTATGAGTCACCAGATGGGTGCTAGCAACTGAATCTAGGTTCCCTGAAAGAGCAGCCAGTGCTCTTAACAGCTGAGACATGTCTCCATTCCCCTATCTTTTAACTCATACAGAAACACATGAGCTGGGCGTTGGTGGCTCACGCCTTTAATCCCAGCACTGGGGAGGCAGAGGCAGGTGGATCTCTGTGAGTTTGAGACCAGCCTGGTCTACAAGAGCTAGTTCCAGGATAGGCTCCAAAGCCACAGAGAAACCTTGTCTCAGAAAAACCAAAAAAAAAAAAAGAAAAAAAGAAAAAAAAAAGAAACACATGAAAATCGTAGAGCAATGACATCATACAAAATCTACCTTTCTAGCTTTCTGAAATATATATGCTAGTATTATCTTTTTTTAGTTTTATTTTCTTAGTCTATGAAGCCCTAGGTAACCTGGTACTCACTATGTGGCCCCAGGCTAGTCTCAGACTCAAGCCTCTCAGTTGCTGGGATCACAAAGGTACACTAACTTGTCCAGCTCTCACGTACTCAGTCAGCCTAAGGTTCAGAAGCCCAGCAGAACTTCTTGCTCCTATCCAATTAGTTTTTCAAAAGATGAATCCGAATCTTACTTTCCACTACAATGTCTGTTTAATATTTTATTGAAGTACACACAAATTATAAATCTGGAATGATGTTTCAACACTGGTGAGCTGAGGAAATGGCTCGGAGGGTTAAGGCACTTGCACAAAGCCTGACAACCCGAGTTCAATCTGCAGAACACACACTGACTCCCACACACTATCTTCTCACCTTCACACTCACCATGGCACACATGTGCCCACATATATACATACAAATACACACACAATAAATTCATGCAATTAAAAAAAAAGTGTTTTAATTGGTGACACCTGTTGCTCGGGGGGAGGAAGGAGGACTTTAAACCACAAAGAAAGAAAGGAGGAAGACTTTTGTCAATATTCCCTTTGTTCCTTTTGAATTTTATTTACTATTTTTCTACAACAAACAACTCCATTTGCTGGGCACAGTGGTGTATGTCTTTAGCCCTAGCACTCAGAGCCAGAGGCTGATCTCTCTAAGTTCAGGGCTGAGTGTGATCTACACAAGTTCTAGACTAGCCAAGGCTACATAGTGGGACCTGTCTCAAAATTCCCAATTTAAACATCTTTAATATAAAACTCATGAGGCCAATGAGATTAGATGGCTCAGTTGGTAAAGAAAGGCACCTGTTGTCAAGCCTGACGAGTTGTGTCCAATACATGGTACCCAAATGTTGGAATGTGTGTGTGTGTGTGTGTGTGTGTATAAATGTAAATCATAATATTAGTCAATTACACATATATTGTGCAAATATTGTAGACCTTTCTTTCTGAAAGGGAAAGAGAGAGAGTTTGTGTGTGTGTGTGTGTGTGTGTGTGTGTGGTTTTGAGACAAGTTCTCCCTACACAGTTTTGTGTGGCAATTTCCTCCAAAATGTAACCTTCTATGTGAGCAAGAAGCCTAAGACATGGGATATTCCTACAGAGAAGCTTGTTAAGCTCAAAGGTTTCAGAAAGTCCCTAAAGCTGACCTTCCCTCCCCAAATACATATAAGCAGTAAAGACTGTTAAGAAACTCTCTCTGATAAGCCAAGCTGCCTACGAGATGTAGACCAATGTGCTGTAGTGTCTAAAAGGCACTCTCCAACCTGGTGAACTATCTCCATGCTGTGTAGAGTGCCATGTTCCCAGTTCTCATGAGTCATCACCCAAGCTGGCTGGGCCCTGGTGATGAAGCTGTCCTTAAAATAACTTCCGCTCCTATAAGTAACCTCTCACTCATATTCCTGATAATTAACACCCATAAAACTCATTGGTTCACCAAGATGGACTTTGGTGGTATCCTTACAGGTCTGTTGCCAGCCCCTTATCTGGGGCAAGTAGATATCTAGTCACATCTCACCAGGAATATTGTAACACATCAATAGTTTAGGCTAGGCTTGAACTTAGTAAGATCCTCCTGCCTCAGCTTCTCAAGGGGTGAGATTAGACACATGAGTTACCATGTCCAGCTAGAGCTATTTTTCTTTCTTTCGTTTTTTTTGAGACAAGGTTTCTCTATATAGCCTCAGTTGTCCTGAGAGTTTCTACTCTTAAATGAGTCTGTTTAGGAACCAATCAAATCTAACAAAAGTACAACAGAAAGCTTAATTTGAGAGCTGGGGGTTGGGGGTGTTTGGTGGATAAAGTACTTGCCCACAATTGTGAGAATTGAGTTTGCATTCTCAAAACCCAAGCAAAAGATGGACAGGCCTAGCAGCCAGCACTCAAAAATCATAGACAAGGGGTTTTGGAGGCAAGCTGACTACATAGACAGGTCAAAATCAGCAAGAGACCTTGCCTCAATAAATGAAGTGCAACTGAGGAAGACAAACACATGTGCCTAAACAAGACACAAATGCACAAACATACACATGCATTCCAAGCATAAGCACTTGGTGGCGCACGCCTTTAATCCCAGCACTCAAGAGACAGAGGCAGGCAGATCTCTGTGAGTTCGAGGCCAGCCTGGTCTACAGAGCAAGTGCCAGGATAGGCTCCAAAGCTACACAGAGAAACCCTGTCTTGAAAAAAAAAAAAAAGAGACGGGGGAGGAGGGAGGGAGGGAAGGAGGGGGAAAAGGAAGGAAAGACATTAGATTTCATTTTAAGTGTATCCAATGGCTGGTTGTAACTCAGTGGTGAGGCACCTGTGTGGGGGCCAAATTTGGGACCCAGAAATAACAGAAAAGGACCTCATACAACAGATTGAAAAAGAACAAGATAAGATGCTCACTCTCTTGTCAGGGTGGGAGCCAAGGACTTTTCGGTTTTCTTTTCTTGTTCCACTGAAGAACTGTTAAATACAAATAAAATACTTTTAATAAATTGATATTTTATCAATTCTATCTATATCAAGAAGAAAATTATCTTAGCTTCTATTTTTAATGAAATATACTATAACGTTTTATTAACAATGTTCATTTTTTTACTTATGCCTAGGAAATGAGCTCAGTAAAGGCTGAGGATGAACTTGATTCCCAGCACACACCCCAACCTAAATACACAAACAAACAAACAAACAAATAGGAAGAATTGTTCAGTCAAAAAGTCATCAAGTACCAATATCTGCTGGGCCCTAGATGAGAAAATTTTTAGCCTCTAATTCCTTAGTGAAGTGAGAGTCTCAGTCCTGGGAAATGAAGCAAGCTAGGTGACTCATCTCCAGTGGCTAGTTGTCAAACTCAAACTTAGGTTTCTGGCCCTTCCTTCAATGAGACCAAGAAAAACCTGGTGAACACAACAGAAGCTTATACTGAAGAGAATATGCTAATTCTACATCCTATACCACCAAAAACACAACAGCAGATTTATAAGATTTCTACCTTCTACCCCAGACTAACTTAAGAATTAAAGCTTTGGTGAAGCAAACTTGTTCCTAATTTGAACTAATAAGATAAAAAAAATATATATTATATATAAAAAAAGAAAGCTTTGTTCATCCCGCCGGGCGGTGGTGGCGCATACCTTTAATCCCAGCACTCGGGAGGCAGAGGCAGGCGGTTCTGTGAGGTCAAGACCAGCCTGGTCTACAAGCGCCAGTTCCAGGACAGCCTCCAAAGTCACAAAGAAACCCTGTCTCGAAAAAAATCAAAAAAAAAAAAAAAAAAAAAAAAAGCTTTGTTCATGAAGGACTTGTTACTCAAACTGTACCATTACTAATGAAATAGGGCATTAAAACTACATTCCTTTATATCACATTACAGTACATAAGAAACAGAAATTACACTCTATCCCAATAATTAAAAAAAATACAGGAGCCCCTTTTAACCTTGGAGATAAAGGAAGGGCATTGTTATTATCCCAGAAAGCAGTCACAGAGTATGACTGTGAATACTGCACATCTGAAGAGTACAGCTCAGACATCAGCACCAAAAGAGAAAAATGTATCTTCACTCATTGTTAGAAATTTTATTTTATTCTGGAAAACATGAAACTGTACACTAAATGTACCATGTCACTACATACCCAGTGAAATAAAAGCATAAATAAATTTTACTTACGTCATTGGATTGTTATCTGGCAGGTAATATATAAAGTCTCTCATAGTCATTTTTGAACGATCTGGTGGCCTCTGGCTTTCATTTGTAGCAAATTTGTTTTTCCATTGTTTCTATATACAGAGATTTTATGTAAAGAATAATTTCAGACACACTAAGCTCAAATATATAACTCACTGACTTAAATTACTTTAATACTATTATAATAATGCCTAATTTTAAGAAATCATTTAACCTAAATATTGTATTATACAATACCCTTAGTAGCTTGTTTAAATGAAGCAGAATTAGAGTTTTATTATAGATGTTTTATTAAAATGTAATTAGACTTGTGTATATATACAAGTATGTGGATGGGAATATGTGTCCATGTATTGCCTCAAGGAGGCCAGAGAAGATCATTAAGTGTCCCCTTCCATCACGCTCTACTTATTCTTTTGAGGCAGGGGCTTCCATCTTGGCTAGAGTGGAAGCCAGCAAGACCCAATGATCCTAGTCCCTCTCAGAGCTGAGATTACAGCAATTTGTGGGATGTCCAACTTGTTGTATAAGTGGGATCGAAACTCCAGTACTCAAAATCGTAAAGCAAGCACTTTTAACAGTGAACCATCTCTTCAATCCCTTAACTTAAAGGTATTTTAATCTGGGCTTCACAGCAAGAGTTAAGAGAGGGGGGCACTCTGAAGATGGTTAAGATATATCTAAGAGAGCACAGATATGAGTTTCTCAAAGATGAGTCACCTCTTAATAGTTTTTTTAAAATCCAAGAAACTGACACTACATAAAAAGCTCAGTGTATAAAATTCTGTTTATCTGAGCTAGGAATGTAGTAGCTAAGTGTTAAAGCATCTGCCTCACATGTATGAGGTCCTGAGTTCAATCCCCAACAATACCAAAATGAGGCATTCTATAATTAGCTAAAACAGATGACATTTGTTGTAAACTATTTTCTAATCATTAAAACATTTAGCTCAAATGTGCTAATAATAAATCTTCAAAGCCCTCCAGTGAGGTATTGATATCATTATTGGTAATATTTTATAGATAAGGAAAAACAGAGATACAAAAATACTAAGCCACCCAACATCACAGTGCTAGTAAGAGATGAAGCCTAAGTTTCTAACTCCAAAGCCAGCTTTGCTACTGAACAATGGAACCACTGTATACTGTCATCGATTAAAAGGGACACACAATCTACTATATGTATTTCGTATGTTTTTTTTTGCCACAGTTCAATTTAAAGCATTACCAATTCACACTGCTCAATTATACTTAATTCAAATAAATATTCCACCATCACTTAGACATTTTTATAGAAATTATTTTAATATGATTGTGTATCTATCTACATGTTCATAAAAATGTACTTTTTGCTGCCACCAAAACTAGTGAAAAATATAAATGAATAAAGTAATTTTAAGCCGGACGTTGGTAGTGCAAGCCTTTAATCCCAGCACTCGGGAGGCGGAGGCAGGCGGATCTCTGTGAGTTTGAGGCCAGCTTGGTCTCCAGAGCGACTGCCAGGATAGGCTCCAAAGCTACACAGAGAAACCCTGTCTCAAGAAACCAAAAAAATAAAAAATAATAATAATAATAATTTTAAAATGACTGTCAAGACAAATGTGACAATACAAGATTTGGATGGCTGGGTCAGTAGGATGACCTAAACTACATAGTGACTGACTTACACAGTGAGCTAAAGGGCAAGACCCTGTCCCCCCCGCTACTCAAAAACAAAACAAAACAAAAACTGAAAACAGCTGGGCAGTGGTGGCACACACCTTTAATCCCAGCACTCAGGAGGCAGAGGCAGGTGAATCTCAGAGTGATCTCCAGGACAGTCAAAAAAAGCTACACACAGAGAAACCCAAACTCAAGAAAAACAAGCCCCCCCCAAAAAAAAAAAAAAAAAAAAAAAAAAAAAAAAAAAAACTGAAAATGAATATAGTAATAATCCAAAAAAAAAAACTGAAAATGAATAAATAGTAATAATGATAAAGTTTATCAGTTGAAAAAAAAAAGTAAGTTTACAAGGATACTTTGTATTACAAAAGATGTTATGTTTACATGAGTCATTATCTGATATTATTCTCTCATCAATTTCAACACATGCTTCTTTTTCTTCTAAAGGTAGCCTGTCTTTCTAACCTGAATACAGAAATCTAGCAGGCAACATCTAAATTTTGAGTTTAGTCACTTACCTTCTCTTTTCTCAATTCTTCTTTCAACATTTCTCTCAGTTTCCGGGCTTTATATATTCGGTATCTATCTGAACAAGGCTGTTTCTCTTTAGCTGGAGTAGGGTTTGGCTGTGGAGCATCGTGATTAACTGTAGATATGGGATGACACTGTGAAGGAACACTGACAGTAGGCTTAGCAAGACTAGAAGTGCTTGACAATCGCTTTCTTCTCTGTGAAACAGTATTGGATGATTTGCTGGACTCTTCAACATTATTTTCATCACCAGTCTTTGAATCACTATTGAAACTAAAAAGAAAGAGTGGACATCATGAATCCTATGCTAGTTTTAAAACAGTAGGTCTCATTAAACAGAAAAACAAATGCATAAGACCACAAATGACTTTTCAGATTTATGTTGATTACAACAGAGTTGCAATAAAACATTGTTTAAAACTTTCTTAGCTGAATGTGGTAGCTCCTACTTCTATGCCTAGCACCAGGGAAAGTGAGGTAGGCAGACAGACTGCCATGAGTCTGAAGCCAGTCTGGGTTACATAGTGAATTCCAACCAGCTTGAGCTACCTACCAGGTAAGACTATCTCAAAACAAAGTGGGACTGGTAAGATGGTCAAGTGTACTACTCTTCCACAGGCCCAGAATCAGTTCCCAGCACTGACAAAAGCTAGGTCACAAACATCTGGAACTCTAGTTACAAAGATCTGACACTTTCTGTCCTCCAAAGACACTTGAACACACATGACATCCACTCATACTCTCACACACATTAAATCTTTAACAAAATATTAGTTTTTACTGTATGTAAATTCTTTTTTTAAACATTTATTTATTTATCCTGTATACAGTGCATACCAGAAGAAGGCACCAGATCCCATTACAGATGGTTGTGAGTTACCATGTGGTTGCTAGGAATTGAACTCAGGACCTCTGGAAGAACAGTCAGTGCTCTTAACCCCTGAGCCATCTCTCCAGCCCACTGTATGTAAATTCTAAGGAAGGCTGTTTAAGTTCATCTTTTTCAAATTCACTCAGTCCCTAAGCATAACAGAAAACATGCTGAGCACAATAATAATAATACACTGAATACAAAAAAAAAAAAACTAAGTCACAGAACAAGGCTTAGTTAGCCAATTTTTAATAACTAGATAGCTGAGAGGTTTGACATTTTTTGTTGTTTTGCTGTATGCCTGTAATCCCAATACTCAGGAGGTGAAGGCAGAGGGTCAGAACAGTCTAAGATCATTCTCGGCCACATAGTGAGTTTGAAGGGGGCTAAGGCTACAATGGGACCCCAGCTCAAAAACAGGAATTTAAAAAAAAAAAAAAAAAGGATCTAGTCACACCGACTCTGATATAGATTAGATATAAGTTGTTCAGAAATGGGGCTGGAGTCATGACTCAAGATTAAGAGCACTGGCTGCTCTTCCAGAGAACTTGGGTTCAATTCCCAGAACCCAGATGTGACTCACTACTGCCTATAACTCCAGTTCCAGGGGATCTGACATCCTCTTCTAGTTTCTATGGGCACCAGGCATGGACAGACATACATGAAGGTAAAAGACCCATATACATAAAAATTTTCAGAAAGAAAAAGCCAGACATAGTGGTATATACCTTTAGTTACATCACTAGGTTGGCAGAGGCAGGCAGATCTCTGAGTTCAAGCCCAGCTTGTTCTACAGAGTTCCAGGGCAGCCAGGGGTAAACAGAAAAACCCTGTCTCAAAAAGGAAAAAATGAAAAGCAAAGAAGAAAACCAGGGAAGTAGCTGAATAGCATTAACATCTATTTCTAATAATACGCTATAGCATGGTAGAATAACTATGGCTAACAACAATTTTTATTGTAAGATAGTTACAGAAAAGATCTGGAATGTTCTCAACATGAAGAAATAATAAACTTTTAAGGTGATACACCATACTATTCTAAACATAAACTGAAATAACACATTGTACTCCATAAATAAGCACTATTACTTTGTATCAGTTAAAATTTTAACATTAAAAAGGGAGTATAGGGGCTAGAGAGATTGCTCATTGGTTAAGAGTAATGGCTGCTCTTCCAGAGGATGCTGGTTCAATTCCCAGCACCCACATGGCAGCTCACAACTGTAACTCCAGTTCCAGGGAATCTGATACCCTCACAGACAGACATGCACACAGGCAAAACACCAATGCACATTTAGATAGATAGATAGATAGATAGATAGATAGATAGATAGATAGATAGAAAGAATAGATAAATGATAAATTTTAAAGGGGGATATAAATCAAGGCTATAAAAATCTTTTATCATATTTTATCATTAGTTCTATATAAAATTAAAGCTACCTTGGAATAGTCTCTCAAAAAGACTTTTAATTTAAACTCTTTTTTAAGGCTGAAGATAGATAAAACTTAATGGTAGATTGCTTGTCTAATATGCACAAAGCTCTGGGGTTCAGTCTCTAGCACTCTCTATCTAAAAACTATAGCCCTTAAAACAATATAACATATCAGTCACCAGCACTTTATATGTTAAATGCATACTCTGTTGGTTTCTACAACTAGAAAAAAAAACAACAACAACAAATAAAAATGAAAACAAAATGGTCTCATCAAATAAGAAAAATGGACTTGGGATGCAGCTAAGCTGGTAGAGTGCTTGGTCATCCTGAAGAGTCCTGGCTTCCATCCCCAGCACCACATAAGCCAGGGCACAGTTGCACACATCTGTCATCTCAGCAGGTAAAGCAGGAGGATTAGAAGTTTAAGGGCATCTTCTCATGAACAATAAGTTCTAGGCCAACCTGAGCTACAAGAAAGGAAGGAAGGAAGGGAGGAGGGAGGAAGGGAGGGAGGGAGGAGGCAGGGAGGGAGGAGGCAGGGACTGACAGAAGGAGGAAGAAAGGAAGGAAGGAAGGAAGGAAGGAAGGAAGGAAGGAAGGAAAGAAGTTGCTAGGCATGGTGGCACATGCTTTTAATCCCATCATTCAGGAGGCAGAAGCAGTTGGATTTCTTTGTTCCAGGCAAGTCAAAGCTACATAGTAAAATCCTGTCTATAAATAAATAAATAAACAAATAAATAAATAAATAAATAAACAAAACAAACAAGCAAAACACAAGTGCGAGTGTGTGTCTGTGTGTGTGTGTGTGTGTGTGTGTGTGTGTGTGTGTGTGTGTGTGTGTGTGTGTGTAAATAATCTAGATGTCTCAGGACTGTGGCTTAAGGGCAATTTACAAAATATCAATCATAATGCATTCCTACATAGTTAACAAAAATCTCCAAACTCAGCCAGGCATTAGTGGCGTACGCCTTTAATCCCAGCACTCAGGAGGCAGAGACAGGAGGATCTCTGTGAGTTTGAGGCCAGCCTGGTCTCCAGAGTGAGTGCCAGGATTGGCTCCAAAGCTATACAGAGAAACCCTGTCTCGAAAAACCAAAAAAAAAATCTCCAAACCCTTTTGATAAGTGACCAATACTGGTATTTTCATTCTAAGTAGAAATTTCCAGACAAATTCAAGTAAGAGACTTGGAAATTATAGTGAATCATTGAAATATCAAAATAACACATAGCACCAACTCAGATCAACAGAAGAAATGTTGCTATGAAAACATAATTTGTACCATCTCCCTGTCACTCAATGTGATTAGTAGTTTATTGGCTTCTTCCTCTGTGTATTATAAAAACTGCAATCATCATATTAACCTGTCACATCTTTAATTTGTACCATCACCTTTCTTTGTTTATTTGGTTTTTCTGACACCATCTCACTACATAGCCCTGACTATTCTAGAACTCACTATGTAGACCAGTCTGGCCTAGAACTCACAGAGATCCATCTGCCTCTGCCTCTCGATTACTGCTAGGACTAAATGCATGTGACACTACATCTGGCAAAACATTTTATACAATCACATCTGATCTTACAATACTGCCCCAAAGGAAGTACTATTAACTACATCTAGCAGGAGTAAATATTCTCTGAGGACAACCTACTTTAAGTTGTTACAGCAGTAGTCCTAAATTCAAACGTGGTATTTGAAGCTAAAGTGAGGCGTCGTAATTCACGGAACATAGTAACTAAAAAGCAGGGCACACTCATAACAAAATAAGCAACCTGAGTCTCTTCCCCTTTTGACAAACGCTGCAAGTGTGGCTCAGTGGCAGGGCGTTTGCCTAACACGCGTGAGGTGCTGGGTTCCTGGGTTCAATCGGATTACCGCGTGGAAGGAGGGGGGAAAATTCAACAACACTGGTGCTCTCCTTTTAAAATAAATATTCACAAATGAAAACCCCGTGTGAAGTACTCCAGGAGAATTACTTAAATTTCGAAGTGCCAGTGTGCCTATTCTTGACTTCAGAATTGTGAAACCAGGGTTCCCATCCATGTAAAACACGGTCTCCTCGAGAACAGTGACAGAATCAGTAGTCGCTTCCTCTGATCGGGGAATTAAACTGCAGCTAGGAGTGGTTTCATCCAGCTCAAACCTAAGGCTTGCTGCAGGCGAGGTACTCCGTGATATAAATTCCAACAGTTCGACATCATGCTCGTTCTACAAGACCTTACCTGCTCCCAGGCGCCTTTTCCTGGGGCTCCGCTCCTCCGGAATCCACCGCAGGCACATCTGTAGGCTCCGCTGGCTTCCCAGCAGGCCCCGGGGGCAGGCCCCGGGGGGCCGGGGGCCCC